ATAAAATGTGTACCTATACCTATAGTATGAATTAGGAGTTTATCCTTAATCAATTTTATGACATGTACCTACATAAACTGTTAAATAAATTTCGATGTATCACCTATACTAAAATTTAAGCAATTTATTATTCTGAATAATTTTTCAATTGCTTTATCAATCAGTCTATTCCCTCGTCGGGTAATTTGATGGCTTTTATTAAAGGTTTTTTTCAGTTATTACGGCGAAGCTGATGGTTAAGTTAATAAACTGTGAAGTCTCGTTGTATTTTACATTTAAACCAATGCGGCCTATTAAGACCACAAAAGCAAACACTATAAAATTAACGCAAAATTATTTTTTATCTTAAAATTATACAGTGCTTTCGTAAAGGCTTATTTTCGACATATTTAAAATGAGGTGGATAAGATGACTATGTATATGTATGAACAAATTAAAGAACTATTTATGTTGATTAAAGTGATGTTTATAAGAGTGCTGGGTATAAAAATATATTTAATTTATTCGTAACAATTACCGAAAAGGTAACCGTGCGTGACGACAACGCCGCAACATAACGTATATATAACGACACCTAACCGAGAAAAATGACTACGGAATTTCCACGCACAAGGGGGCCGCCCTTTCTGCAAATAATAACATAATTCGCTGATCCAAAATGAGGTTATTTTGCGGCGAAAAACCAAACGACTAATTGCTCGAACCGAGCACAGATGTTTACCATTTGGGGTTGGCATATTTTTTAATTTTTAGCAACCCCGCGTACCTAATAATTCAAGCACATGTTATACTCTGTGACAACGCGCAACTTAATTGTTATCGCAATTTTGACAAAAATGTTGGAACCTTCCAATATATTTATCATTCTAATACCCTCGTATAAAACATGTTTGAAGAATTATGTTAAAATATTACGAAATGTTGGTTAGTTCATAAACTAATTAGGCTTATCTAATACGAAATAAATTCCCACGAGATACACGAAAGGGACCCGAAACCAAAAATTCATTTAGCCTAATTCGTATCGTTGACGAAGAGAATATAATAATATTCCTCGGTAATTTTCATCTCGTTAATATAATGGATCCATTTAAGGCCCGAAATGTGCCTAAAAATACCCATGAAATTATTAATGTAATGATACGTTCGCGACCATACCGACGAGTGGCGGTAAACTAAACACGTATTATAATAATAATTTCGCCAAAGAATAAATACGCTCCGGGATAAAATTTTGAAAAATCACTTTTTCATTAATCCCGCGCTCCTTCATTAAGTTGCACAGTTTCGTTTTCAATTAAGCGTTATATTTCGTAAATTAACTGGTAATTAACTAACGAAAATTCTTTAAATGCTTTAAGTTCGTTATCGCAAAATTATGCCACTCATGTAAATAGATAAAAATTACGTAAGTTGAAGTTAGAATTATTGAATAAGTTTTTTAATAATTCGTATACTCAATTCGCATGCATTTTACATTTTACACCTTTCTGTATGGGCGATATACATACATATTTCCATGTTTCACACGCGAATATCAGTCGGCCGAATTTCGCATTCCTGTCGAAATATCGCGCATATAATTCGCAAGTTTTTACGTGTGTGGTCGCAATTTCAGATGGCGCGTTTTCTCTCGTACGTGATCCGCGTTCGGATCTTTGATCTTCACCGCCTTTTGTCTCTATGTTTGCCATTCGAATCGACCGCGACGCGTAGGAGTTTTTCGAACGCGACTCCGCGACGTTTCCATTCGTCCACAAAACGTTTATTTCCACGATGCATGCCGTGCATAAAATGCGCCCATGCAAATAGATTATGTACCAAGAGTTTCTAAATGTATCTCTTTTACTAGCCTTTCATTCTCTCTTATGATAGTTATACTATATTGACACCAAAATTTATTAGAAACTATATCAAATTACACTTATTTTTATCATACAAATCATCAGATTTATACTCCAATTATTTACTTATTTTTATTAATTATACCGGTAATTGTCCCACTTAAATCTAATTTGAATGTTTTGTAACATCACTACGGTTGATTGAAGCTGAAAGGATCGACTCATCGCGGCCGACGGGGAGACGTAACGTCTTATAGAGAAAATAAAAACTTCGGCGTTTCGAATGAGAGAAGAGCGAAGGAGAGGAAAAAAAGGGGACCATCAAGGGCGCTCTTTAAGAGCTTTATCTAGGTATATCGGAGAACGTCCGTATAGTTGGCTGCTGTCAGTCGACGAACAGGTCGAGACGGATTCGTAATTACGTTTTCTTCTCCCGGCCGGTATATTAGCGGCGCCTAGCTCACCGACTGCATTATCGTCATTATAAAAGTCATCATCATTAAATGGACTGATCATTCCTTCGGATTGCGGCTTTTCGGTTGTGCCGGCTTTCCGGCCGCCCCTCGTATACCTCGTGTAGGCGATCCGATAATGCAGCAAAGGAGACTTTTTTCTGTCACGTCATTATATGCGAAAAGTGTCAATTGCCTCGACGAAATGTCTCATTTGATTCTGGTCATTTAGCGCTACACAAACAAGTACCTATACTTATTTGGACTTTGTATTTTTAAAAAATTGTTTGTTATAAATCTTATATAATAAAAAGGAGGAGCCTGTTTGATAAGTTCATTATAAATGAGACATTATCGGGACTTATAAACTCTCATGGGTAGTTTCAAGGGACTCTATTGGACAGTTCTATTGACTCTTTTGGGTAGTTTCCAGTGACTCTTCTGGGTAGGTTCAAGGGACTTTTGGAGAGATACATCACTTGACTCTTTTGGGTAGGTTCAAGGAACTCTATTGGAGAGGTATACAATTGACTCCTCTGGGTAGAATAATGTGTCTCTATAATGCAGGTACAATCGACTTTTTTAGGTAGATTAAAGTGACTCTATATTATACAGATACAATTGACTCTTTTGGGTAAGTTCAAGCGACTCTATTGGGCATCAAGTACAATTGACTTTCATAATTATTGACTTTTTTAATTAACTTATATCTTGGATAAATGATTGACACTTTTACAGATAACAAACTATTTCCTAATAGACAAAATAGATAATTTATTAACTCATTTGCAAGTAACTGTTTAATTATTTCACCGCATATTCTATTTAAATTAAATTTCAAGTCATAGCCTATTGTTGAGCTAATGCGTACGTAATTTGTCGAAATTACAACGTGTCACTCCGGCGTGTAATGTATATAAAGCAACAATTTTCGTTGGTATTATAGCCGTTCGATTTGGAATATTTGCACGGTTAAACGTTGTGGGAGTAAAAACACGCAATTAAATGTAGGTATTAACCGTTCGATTCGGAATGTTTTTCTTATTGTCTTAACTGAATAAACAGTCGTTGATCTTATGGTGTGATAGGTTTGATGTGTTGACATTACAATGAAGTAATTACAGTAATTTTACCGGCGAGCGTAATTATTATAGCACTCGAAGAGGCGAAAGAATAATGTCCAATATAAGTTGTAAATGCATGTGTATTCGTAATAGGTGCTTGCATAAAATGAATATAAATATTTCCAAACATTTTATCGATTTTTTTTGATAATATGTATGTGTATAAATTGTTAAGTATATTAACCATAATTCATTAACCCCGCAGTAATTAATAGGTTTAGTAGTTACCTATGAGTAGGTATATTTTTAAAGAATATACACAAACTCTTTTCTTTCGTATAATATGCATTGTTAGTTATAATTCTAGCATCTGGCGTCCAATTAATTTAGTTCTAACTAAAATAAGGCGTTAACCTCATATTTAGGTAGACCTTAAATGTTTCCGGTCCGCTCGTATAACAACCATTAAATTTTTGATAAAGCTTCTGCATGTTTAATAATTTTAAAACATAACAAAAAATAAGTAGCAGGTATATAGGCAATTAATTAGGCGATTCGATTAAAAAGTACATCCCAGTGTAATTTTATAAGGTCTAATTTAACGAATATAGGCTTAAGTTTATTAGGCATTTCAAACACTAATCAAAAATTTAATTTGTGGAAAAAATTTGCTTCATATCCTGACTAGAAATTAACAGAAGAATAATATACGTATTAGGTACTCTTGATGTTCATTATTTCATTAATTCTTATAAGGTTATATGTTCAATCTGAGTTGGGTATCGATGATTTTATATAGTTCAATTCCTATGCCATGGGTCTGCACAATTTTTTATTTAAGATACAATTTAACTTTCTACTATTATTAGATATTTGCATATACAATTCGGACGTGATTTTTTATACAAATTTCGATATCCATCAATATCCTGCGATTCCCTCGCGTCCTGCTTCGAAATTCAAATCGACCCCGCCGATTGGATGGCAATCGGGAAGAGTATCTAACTGCTTTTCACCCTACGGCCAAAGGGCTTATTTAAAGCGACATATTTCAATTTAAACCCTCTACTTAGAGGGTGAATTATTCGCCAGACTTTCGACGCTCCGCTCCGTTCCTACAATTGACTTTTTATTCGAAGGAAATCGCTTCCAACGTACCTATTTAGAGCCCGGTAAATTAATTTATGTTTCAATTAGAGTATAATATACCTTATATAAGTCATCCTATTTTACTTTATTTATTATAAGGCGATTATGGGTACTAATTGTTTATAATTTAAAAATATTAAGTTGATTTCATTTAATGGAAAATATTTTTATCATGGTGATAATTAAGTAGCCCCCTTGTATATGGTACAGCCACGAGTACTAAACATAAGTTATAACCGACTCGTTCTCGTTTAATAAAGAGCTTGTTTACAAAATACCACTCGCTAGATATCAACCTCTCTAGTCGGTAATTTCCAGTGATTTCGTTACACAAAACATGCGCACTGGGCGATACCCCGATAAAAATCACTGGGCGTTATCGCCTAATGAACGTCGGCCCGGCCTATTGGTCGTCGAACGGAAGGCGCCGCCCATTCGACGGCGACGCGCAGAAGGGGAACCGGTGATTTTCCAGTGATTCCCTTAACCCCAAAACAGTGAGTAATGGGACTTCAACAATAGCAGTTACGCCGAGACAAAAAATTATATCGCGTTTCCATTTTGTTCGGTGCGATTGTTCGGTCGTTCGTCGGCAGTGATTGAGATTCGGTGGTACTAAAAGATTTCGTTGATCGATTGAGATCATGCTTACCGATATGACGCCCACCGCTGGGCAACTGTACGGCGCCCAAATACCCGCAATGACTATGAACGTCAAATCAGCTGTAAGTACATATTATTTTATATAAAAAAAAGCTTCCTTAACAAGCTATAGATATGGCTATATATAAAACAATCGAAAAAATTATAGTACACCTATACATAATCCATAATTTAGAACAAATTTTAATATACATTCTCTTACAATAATTAGATATTAATTATACATACACCCTTCAACTGGTACATACTATTATTACAATAATAATCTTACATTAAACAACTATTACCTAATATGTATATAAAATTATAAATAGGTATAAATTTTCATTAAGAACCTAACAAAAGTTTCATTCCACTTCCGATAACGATATAAAATTTAAATTTATCCTTCTGTAAGTTTGAATTTCTGATAGCTGAATCGTGTCGAATTGGCTCGCGATTTTCGAGTGTCCGTTTGCGCTTCATTAAGAATCGAAGACGAAACATCTCCCCTGTCCTAATCAAGCTTAGGTATCGGTTAAGTAGTTTAGTTAAAAGCTCTCGGGAATAAAATAAGGGACGGAATAGTCCGAGAACCCTCTTGAGATTTGTTGTTAGTAGACTTTGACAATGAGCTTAACGCGAGCAATCCCCAACAATGGGTTCGAATGGCCGTTATTTCCAGATATTTGCAATTCATTGTAGACGTCGAGGCTTAACAGGCCTAAGTTTGCACAAAAACGCATCAACTCTTTATATGCAAGAAGAAAAGTACAATAGAAAAATACTGTAACCAGTGCTTGTATTAGAATTTAAGAAGCTTATATGAAGTAATAATGATGTGGAATACATTTTATTTACATCATTAAATTGAACTGAAATTATGTCAAATGCCTATTCTGAAGAACTTCAAATGTACCACCTAATTAATTTCACTAATAACAATATACCCAAGCAAAATGAAACTGACTATAGTTTCTAATTCTTAAAATTTTCCCCCGAAAATCCTAAATGCAATATAATACCCACAATATTATAAAAGTACACATACTACCAACACCATAAAACATTTATTTTTCTTAACTAAACATACGGGGGGCGACGAAAATGCACCTATATTGATGTGTAAATCGTATTAGTTCCGACGGATCGTAGTCGGCTCGGGCCACTTAGCGTCGGACCGTTACTAAATAAAAGAACATCGTCAAAAGCTCATGCTGTTTCGCTGATGCGTTTTCTCAGCATGGTGCCCGATCGAATGGTTAACAGGACATTTAAACGGTGTTAAAAATTATTTTTTTTTCACAATAGGTACACCCCGATTTGATAATATATAGAGAGACGTTTGTACGAGGCGCGTTCGGTATATGTTCTGGTTCTAAACAAGAGGTTTCAAGGCGAAGAAAATGTTGTTATTTGATTGATTGATTTTTATATGATTGGAAATAAGTGGACTTCCTGTTTTTGATCAATTAAACGTTGTGTTATTGTCAAAAGGTTCCTTATCTATATAATACTGATAATTTCAAAGTATAGTACATGGTAGTATTACCTATAAGTTAATGTTTCTATTATAAACATCAAGCACATTTTTAACATAAAATATTGCATTAACTATTTATTCTATAAGTTATTAATTAATAACATATCTACATATGTATGTATATCATAGAAACTAAAATTCAATTGATATCTAGAAATATTGTAATTATACAATAACAAATACCTTTGATATACCTACTTATATTACTTATGAAGTAAATAATAGTTTACAAAAAGTTTTATAACGAATTTATCGGGATAACAACCGGAATGGAGGATAATAGTTCTGTAATTTCTAAAGTGAATTATACTAAACAACCGAAAAAGATTTTTTATTCGTTTCTTTCATGACAGGTTATTATGCCGCACTTACTGTTTATTTTATTTATATTAAATAAAAGGCAAAGAAAATAACATCATTAGAAACAAGTTGAATTATTAAGTAATAAATAGGTTTAATTTTAATTCGAAATTGAGCTATTACGCCGGGTAATTTATATTAATGTTAAATTGCGGCGGTTATCGGTGTCGTTTTATTTTGTTTTGAAGTCGTATTAAGTACCATTGATGATTAGTAATAACTTTTGTTTGAAGTGCGAATTTACATTGAAAATGTTATAATTTTCCAAAGTCGACAAAATACAAATTTTATCAAGTTAATAGGAATAAGCTACTCACTTATATTATGTAATTCATCATGTTCTCTAGACCTCGCACATCTATTTTTATCTGGTTTATATAATCTATAAGTCCTATGTCCTTCTAAGTTCTCTAATTTAGTGAACGCACAATTTCACATTGTTCATGCAATGAAACCCGTAAATGACACAAAATTAACTACCGCTTTCGAAAGAAACTAGTGATAACACTGCTTCGACGGGATAAAAACGATGTATTTTTCGGCGCATGTGTTTGTTTTTCGCGATTATTGCAATCCCCAAGCAGTAAATACACCGTCGAATTAAATCACTTCTACCTAGTCAAGGTCACTTAAATGCGGTTGGAGTTCATCGCACCACCGGTAAGCGATAGATGATCTATCGGTGGACCGTTCTGTTGAAAAAACGCTACCGGGAATACAATAATAAAAAGGCCAGATATCTTTTATCGCCCCGTCAAAAAATGAAAAAACAATAAAAAGAGGAACTATAGAGAACACTCACAATTGACCGGCCGGACTCTTTGTGTACCATGACCGATGTTTTTTTCAATGCACCCTTTAACAGGTCCGGTTTATTCGATAATTATCTGCCTAATGCATACTGAATTTGATATTTGTTAGATATTTTTAACAGAGTACCTATACCTAATTTATCGAGAGCTATAGGTATTTACTTAATGGTTGAATTATTTGAACATTTACCTACCTAATTTTTTACAAATTAGGGGGCTACTGATAAAAATATACATACATAATTGCTGTAAATATTTTATCTCAATGACGTTATAGATATAGGTAATGGTTTAATAAAACAGTAAGATAAAATAGTTTACAGTGGATAATATTTGTAAATTGTACCTACTTCCTTATTACCCGCAAGTCCTTAATTTTTGTACACAATGTGCAAAATGAAGGTATTTTAATATGAATATATTATTCCTTTATGGTGTTGAATATTAATATTTTCGGCCAGTCCTGACCACACTGTAAGCGCCGGCTTTCCTTTAATGAATCCTGACTGTCAGTCTTTATGATTTGTTTTTGAATTGCCTTTTTTTCGACTTCTTAGTACCGAAGCGCTTATTGGTTTTGATGATTTCTTGAAATCTCTTCTTTTATCATCTTCTTTTATAGCCTAGGTAATTGTTTTTGTTCGGCCACCTATTAGAGATCTAATCGTCTAATAATCGCGGTTATTGCTTTATCACGCCGTATGTAGGTCAAACGATATGTACAAAGGTGCTTAGTTGTTATAACTTTACCAGTACATTATGGAATAAATGAGAATGAAAACGGAAACGTGCAGCCTGAAAGTTTAGAATTCGCCGGGTTTTGGACCTTTCGATCACTTTCTGTTTTCTTTTTTCTCGTTTTTTGATTGAGGTTGACATTCTATTGTGTTGGGTTTTGGGTACCTACTCGAAAGAAAAGTGCAATCCAAGTGCACCCAATTTTTGGACACTTCACAAACATTCGAACAATGCCGGTACTTGAAATCCGTTTCCATTTTAAAAAATTAGCTACGATAAATAATTTAAAATGTCTATGTGAAACTGTATGGTGTTATGCACCTAATACGTATATTTTTATTGACAAACTAGTAAGTTCAAGTTCAAAATTATTGCGTTAGGTACTTACCTTGTCATTAGCACAAATTATTTCGGCCTTCGTGGATTTAATTAGGTTTTTCTAAAGTAACTGTAGGTACTGTTAGAGTATAAAAAATTACATTGTTCTAATTACAGTGATAAAAACCAAAAATGAACTATACATATACCTACATTCATTCACAAAATAAAAGTTACTATAATACAAGCATCCAATCTTCACCTATAAAATGCGTATGTGCTAAGTGTATAAAATTTCTTTCACAGAACAACCATAATCGGGAGGAAGTACTTAAAATTTCGCAACATTTTTTTTGTAAGTAAAATTTCAACTAAATCTGCTCTCGGTAGACGAAATGTATCGGATTTCTTTGACAGGTTAAAAACATGTGCCTTTGATATTCTTTTATCCGAACATCTGTTTCCATAGTCGTAGAAACTGATAATAGAAAATTGTTCGATAGATTTTTTTATTAATTAATTCGAACCTTCCTGTGTCTTTGAATTATGTAAACGAGCAATTGGTTGCGCATAGAATCTGCAATTTTACTAATACGTAAAGCCAATAAAAATTGTTCTCTTTATTAAAAACATAAAATAAATTAATCAAAATAGTAATTAGCAGTGTCTAATTACAATAATTATAAATATAGATAACCGCAATTAAGTATTTTTCAGAATTATTTAATAATATATTTTTAGTGTCAGACATCAGAAAAATCGCCTAATTAACTGCTGTACTATATCAAATAATTGATAGATATCTATCTATATTAATCAATCAATTATGAACTAAATGTTAATTGACATCGAACAAACAGACCCTTAAAAAATTAACGAACTTAATGGGCACTTGTTTCCCATAATTAGGTACTCTATATTTTTGAAGGTTTTGTCTAAAATAATCGAGCTAAATAAAATATAGTACCTATTATACGTTCATATATTATCTACATTCATACGCAAAATGTAAAGACTATATTTATATAATAACTGATAACAATACTTTCGTATTTACTTTGTAAATACTTATATAATGTAAGAGTTTAGGTTAAGTTCTATGCGTAAGTAAGTGTTTCTTAATAAACCAAATAATCTTCTAATCGTCGATGACTGAATGATTGATTATTAATAAAAAGTGTACACCAGTAAATCAGTTTTTAGATTTTATAAATTCATTTAATTCCGAACCTGTACCCCGAATATACACTTCAAAACGCGTCGCACATACCGCGATTATTTATGCCTAGCGGGAATAAACAACATCGAGCTT